ACTTTGACCTAGTTAGGTATCTTTCAATTCTTTGCTTTGGAAGTACCTAAATGCCAGTTAAAACCAATACACATACATTTATTATATTTTATTATCACAACCGCAATAAGTTGACATAAAAATGTAGGAAACCATGGTATACAAAAGCCAGCTTCAATATTTCTATTTCTGGACAATGATGTAATAAATACCAGTCATTAGAATCTAGTACCATATATTATGAAGGGCTCCTTATTCTTCAGTCATTGCGTTAATTTACCATACAATACAGAGTATTTTAGGTACAAGACAGAGGAGGATGACTTTAAAAATGCTAATACATAATAGGATATTTCAGAGCATTAGGTCCAATCTCATAATGTGCCCCTTCAATTAACCTTTACAGTACAATTGTATTGCAATGAGATAAATAAAACATAGTATTGATCCACAGCTCCATCATTATTTAATGCTGGAAGACAGAGCTTACAGGAGCAGTAATGTGTAACTACACGCCCATAACATATCCGTGTAAACCACATTAGAGGAATGATTAGATGCAGTTTAGTGGTACTGCTGGGTGCCGTGTTCTTCCCATCTAGATCCTTGAAGTGTAGAAACCCTCTCAGTTCATATCCTGATCACCCACACTCTGACGCAGGTACTCCTCATAAAGATTTTTCTGCAAAAACACACAAGCAAATCATTAGATGAGTCCGTTCCCACTGTAGCCATCTTTAGATGCGTCAACAACACAAATGCACACTTTACCTTTTTGGTTTTGACCACCTCCTGGACATACTCCAGTTTTTCCTGAAGCTGTCTCTTTTGTTTCCCAGAGAGTGTTGGTTTAGTCCTAAATTGAGAGAAAAAAAAAACACTGGCACAATAAAAGTACATGGTGTACAATAGAGGCATGCATAAGATATACAAGAAAAACCTTGTACATAAAACAGTCATAAAATAACTATAGAAGAAATATGATTTTTATTTATTTTCCTCCCCCACAATGTTATTCACTACTTTTCTGCAGTTCTAAAATATATAAAACTTTTGCACCATATTACAAGACTATTCACTAATATTTCCCTCTGCTGCAGGTAATTTAATATGAGATTTTTTTTTAACCAACAAAATTCATTAAACTTCCATTCTGCTGTAGGCCTAAAAAAATAAATAAATGCTTATTATATAAGCCCACAAAACCTCTATATTCAAAGACTTATATACACACATACATATAGGAATTTCAGCTGCGCTTCACTGTAATTTGTATGCATTCTTAATATGTACACTTTCATTACTGAAATGCTGGGATTTATTTACAAGAACAATATTTCATCACCTCTCCACCTCAGTGAAAGGAGAAATATGAGAGAAAAAAAAAAAATTTGAAATGGGCCATTTCAGCAATAAAACATATTAGATATGTAGGCCTAGGCTACATTAAACATAACCAAGCAGCTTTGTGTTTACCTCATGTAAATAAGTGGCTGCATTAACTTATTTTCACTAGTTTCAATATTTTCAAAATGCCATCCATCATTTTGAGATAAAAATACAAGACGGAACCATTTCAGCTATCGCATGTCAATCTTCCTATTTTTAAACAGGAGATTTAATAGAATATTATTTTCAAAACAAATGGCATTCTATTTACAGCCGACAATCATGTGACCAACCATGTGAGCAAGCGCCATCCTGGGTTCATAGTATCAGAAAACTTGCTCCACCATGAATAAATCACCGTCCGAATGCATGAGTTTTATCACTGAGGTGCCAATTTATTTTTACAGATATTCACATGAGAAACAATAATCATCCGAATAGGGCTTAATTTTATAATCTGCTTTTTTTTTTTTACCTGAAAGAGAAGCGTGCAAGGAGGAGAAAGATGAAGGACAACAGAACCAGTCCAGCACAACTGTACAGCTGCACTTCCACTGACAGGGACTCAAACACCTTCACTGCAGGAGCCTGAACACACAATTCCACACTCACATCAGTATCTACAGAGAATCCCAAACACACATGCACATGAATGCATATACATACATACTAACCACATATAGTGAGAGTGCCTCTGTGCCTTTATCACCCAGCATGAGTTCCAGTAGTTCTCTGGAGAGGCTGCCAAGCACCAGGGCGACGAGCAGCAGCAGGGGCACAGTGAAACCCAGCATGCCCAACAAACAGCCCTTAAAACGTGCTCGACGGTTCTCTATACTGCAGAGCCTATTGGGAGAAAAACACACAGTTGCAACTGTAAAAATAGACATGTGCAATTTGATGAATATTTTATAGTATAGAGGCAAATGCCCATCTAAGAATGCACTACCTGTCATTATCAAGTGTCTCAGTGATGGCCTCAGTGATGAGGTTACAGTCCTTCTCCAATGAGTTAAGCGTGTTCTGTACAGTCTGATTTATGGTCTTTTCTATAGTCCGACACACCTCCTCAATCTGATTAACACATCGGCTGGGCTGATGATGGAGACAGTGAGGAAAGATCCATTAATATTACAAAATAAGTGGTTGTCGCATAAAATGGCGAGGAGCTGAAAGATTTATGGTACCTTGTTAGGGTTAGGAACGTAGATGGTGGGCATGTCAAAGCCACACTTGTTAAGTCCCGGACGCTTGCAAAGCTCCTGCACAATCTGCATCATAACTCTCTGAAATAACCAATAACACAGCCATCAATGTGCCATCATCAAGCAGGCAAACAAAAACTAGTTTACTTAAAACAGTCACATGCACTACCTTTTAAATGTTTGGTGTTCATTTAAATATACTATATATATTTTTAAAAGAGTAATATTTTAAAATACATTCAAATAAAAATATATGAGCATTGGTGAGAAGAGAATGCCTTTGAATGGTAGTGTACATGCAAAATAAAACATAACGGTGAAGATGAGTGTGTATAGGAGCAGTTTACTTGTCGATCAGACTCTCCTCCAGCCTCATCAGCTTTACTGAGATAAAAACGGAGACGGTCACCTTGCTTCTCGTTCAGTTTCTCTACAATGCTGAGTGTGCGCTTACATAAAGCCTGTCCCATTGGATCAAAGAATACCAGGATCAGGTCACAGAGGTCACCTGATGTAGACAGGTAGAATCATAAACATACATTTAGAATGCCAAACATATAGACATGCAATAAAAACAATGTCAACTCCTAAACACACAAACAACTAAAGACAAACACACCGAGCCACAGAATAGCTTGGTCCACATCAAAGGGGTACTTCATATCTCCGTCCACCAGACCAGGACTATCAACAAATGTCACTAAGCTGAAACGTTTCTGTCGTGAAGTGCAAATCTCAGTGCCGAGGTATTCTGACAACCCTGAAATTGAGAGAAAGTTGCATTTCAGACACAAATTCAAGCACATAAAAGCAACCCTGCTTTTAATACACTTTCCAAACCTTTAAAGTCTTGCAGTGGTTTGAAGTGTGGATAGAGATGGAGTGTTGCATTTCCCTAAAACCAAACAACAGGATTTATACAATAAATCAGTTTATGTCAATGGTGCCATTTTAATGCCCAAACCACTTCACACAAAACTTTCATGAAACATGTAAGAGGATCAAACTTACAGTGAGTGACTCCCTCTTTCGCCCACTGGTAACAAAGCTGAAGCCCTGTGTCTCTATAGCGACCCCTGTCCTTTGTATATGCTCCTCCACATACCTGAAAAAACAATAAAACATGAGTTACTGCCATAGAGAGTAAGGTTACTGCTTGTGAGGCTTTCTCAATCACACACACTAATCGGAATACATGATTGTAATGCATTTGCCTACCAATTGATAAAGCTGCTCTTTCCAGCGGAGTGGTTCCCCATCAACATCACAGTTATCTTTTTACGGGGAGGCAGCAAGGTCACCCCAACAGTTTGAGCGATTGTTATGAGTCCTACAGGACAAGGGAATGAATGGTTAGACAAACTGGATTAGAAAAGTAACGTTAAGTGTCATTTATTTTTAATCCAGGTTCTGAGACTGAGTAAGTTAATTTCATTTTTGGGTAAACTAACCTTCAATGTCAGAAGCAAACTTTATTGGATTACACAGGGTAATGAATGCAAAACAGGTGAAATGCAAGTGAATGAATGAATGCATATCGACTCAACCGGCGTTTTAGCTATCCAGCTACCGTTAGCACCTCTCATCTACGCCTGGAGACAGATCTAATTTCTGAATACCCAACTGAACCAAATAAATGAATGAGAATGTACTAGTCGTTTAAAAGGGATTTTTTTCTTTCTAACCGCTATCTGGTTCGATGTACATCTGATGGCAGTCCCGTAAGATGCGCTCGTCGCAGGACACACTGCCAGATATGGAGTCGGCATTTGCAGCACTCCTGCTTTTGATTTTCCCGGACATAGTGGTGTAAAATTATGGGCTGTAATAAAGCAGCGTGTACAAAGTAAACTTAACTGATCAAATTGTATGAACTGTAAGAAACAACACAGACTTTTACTCACATCCAAATGAAGTTCAAATCGCCCCGGTCTGCTGGACAACTGTGGCCACGTCACCGCGAATCACAGGTTTTCGCAAAGCATTATGGGGGCTGTAGTCTTTATTCCGTTTCGCTCGCGCTGTTTCTGATTATTGAGAACAAAGGCCATTTCTTGTTTCCGCCCTAGACTATTTATAAATCACGTCGTCTGTAGACCATTATGTAACGATTAATCATTAATGAACTTAAGAAGCTTGTGAAGAATACCATTTAATAATTTGTGAAACTAATTTTATTATAACTGCTGTATGAATGTAACATGTTAATTACACACACACACACACACATTATATATATATATATATATATATATATATACATCTGTGTATAAAAATGCGAATAAAAATGTTATCCATCATACTTGTGATCACTGCACAATGCACACTACTTTGTAGTAGCCCTATAATGTGAAAAATGATAAAATCTTTTAACCTAATTTCAATAGAGGTGAAAAATAAAGTAAAAAACAAAAAACATGACAAAGGTTTTCATTTATACCCCATACTTTAATGTAAAGAATTCAGGTTAATATAATATACATTAATGGTTTAGCATTCAAAGAAATAGTTTGCTACAAAATCATAAACGCATTTACATGGCATGTCTGCTCTAGCATGATCAGATCAATGTCTCTGTACATGCTCCTCAAATGTTAGATTATACTCACAACATTCTCCTTGACAAAAATGCATGAAACAAGATGAACAAAGATGAATTACATTTTATAAGCTGAAGTGTCTTAAGAATATCAGTCAACTGTGGACAAGCTCTATTCTACAGCCAATAAGCCTGAAGCTCACTCACACAAACACACTTATGAGCAGATGTTCATTTGTTGGGATTCCTCAGTGACTTGGTAAATTAAAAGATGAATTCAACCGAAATGAATGAATTTGGAGGCATGAATCATCCTTTATGCAAACTCTCACAGACACATATTGCACATAATCCTCTCTAAGCCACACACACACACACTCACAAACACAAACCACATATAGTAAAATAATTTCACTCACACTACCTCGTTCATAAAGACCTCGTTCTTTAAAGTAAAAATTAATTAAATAAAAGTCATTGGATCTTGGCATTTTAATCACACTTTGCTTAAACCTTATGAATTGCACTTAATAGGGAGAATTTGAGGGCTTATGTCAAAATCCCAACAAAAATCAAGACATTTTTAAAACTGAATTTAAGTGGTTGATTACGAATTTTAGCAGTTTCTCCTAAACCTGCCTTGCACACAAGCAACACACTTCCAAACACATAAAACACACACTGTACACAAATCAAATAACCCAAAATATATAAAAGAAAGCATATCTCATGCCATTGCAAGTGGTGACAGCAAGTTAAAGCAAAGGCTAAAGGCTTCAGTCCCAGCCATTATCCTTAATCATGTGAGATAATTCGATAATAAACTTCCCCTCCTTGTACTTCTGACTTAACTCAAATGCCTGCTCCTGTAGAGGAAGGGAGAAAGAGCTCAAAATCAGAAATTGTGATCAAACTGTACGGTTATTGATTAGTAATTTAGGCATGTGTCCTACTTCATTTTCTCTAAAACATAACAAGACATACTTACATATTTCCAGCCCAGTGTGGTATGGCAATTCTCACAGTAAATATCAGCCACAGCATGAAGACCGGTCAGCAGCAGCCTTTCCTCTGCTGGACCACAACCCACGTTCACCCTGAAATCACAAAATGGCAGTTAAGCAAAATATTTCCTCTATCAAGATGTGATAAAATTTCTGAGATTTCCTTTTCACCAGAAGTGGTACTCACACAGAATTGAACAGGTAGGCACGTCCTTGACTGCCTTGAAATGACTGAAAATAGACAAACATGCGAGTCTAACGCAAACAGCATCACAATCCACAAATCTAGCTGTATATGTGCCACAAAAGTCACACAAAGTAACTCTCACCTTTGAAATGAGGTCATCATGGTTAGCCAGGTGTGCACGGCAGTGGACGCAGCTGTAGCGACGGTGACAGTAGTCCAGATAGGCCTGGAAAGTTTTGGCCTTGGTCTGCTTCACCATGTCTTTGAAAAACAGACAAAAACAATGTCAGATCATACCTGCAATGATCAAAAATCCTGCTGCCCCTTCTCATCTGAATCTAACCATGAAAATTCGAAGGCAAATGCTACAAAACAGCATTGACTGCCAAAACATTTCAAGGCGAGGTTGCCAAATAGCCTTGCGTAGTTAGGAAGCATGGCATTGGCATAAACCACAAATGTTATGAACATCAAAGCAGACTAAATGCTTTGAGATTGATTTTTTTTTATGCACACTGGATGTGACATTTGCGTCATTTTTTGTTTAGGTAGTTGAAAAGCATTTTAATATCATCTCATATCCTTATTCAGCGATATAGCAGGAAAACGGAAACATCCACATGACCTACTTTGCTTGGCTGCCCACACTGTAGTTACCCCATATATGGCCCGCCAGGCAGAGGGTAAACAGGAGTGAGTGGCAATGAATAACTATGGCATGCACTAATAATACAGGTTTAGATATAATTTTGTGTTATAAGATCTTTACAAAGTTAATAAATGTCCACAGGCATGCTTACAATTTTAGTCTCGGTTTTTATGTACTTAAGCGCTACAGCTGGGCCCACAATGCAGCTTGGAAAATAACGATGCACGAGTCGCGAACGAATCTCTCATATGAGTCGGGTGCTTTCAACGATTTGTTTGAACCGGTATACAAAACCGATTCGAAATATGAAAATATGCAGAAAATATGTTAATATTCAGTGAATTTGGTGTAAGCCCAGAATTTGACTGATGGGGCAAAAAGTAGTTTTGTTGTGATAAAGCTTACTGTAAACTAATTCACTTCACTTAGTGTCGATCCATAATAGCATTATACTAGAACGTGCCCAAACGTATTTAAACGTAAATTCAAATTTACCTCTTACTTAAATTTAAAATTACCATTCAAATTGTAAGTGTAAATTAATTAGGTACAATAATAATAAAAGTATAATAATAAAATAATAATAATAATAATAATAAAATAACATGAAATTAAAATAATTTCATTTAGGGGGGGGGGGGGGGGGCAGCTCTATTACGTACACGTAATGACACACTTAAAAGAACCGAATCGTTTTTTGAAACGAACTGTTCGAAAGAACCGAAACATGGAATAAATTCGAACTTCCAATCACTACTGGGAAATCTCTCGAACTCGCGCGGCTACATGCCTGCTAAATTAACGTTTCAAACTAACCTCATAAACATATTCAAGTAATTTAGTCGCTATATAATTTCAGCATATTATTCAGTTTCTCAACCTGAGAGGAGCCGTTTGACATTAGAACCTTTCTAACATGGTTGCTCCATTTGAAATGCCACGCAACAATAAAAAAAGGACCCACCTATATATGAATGGTTTCTTCAAGACAAACGCTGTTTGCAGTATTGTCACCAGAAGAGAAGCGTGCTCAACTCAACGACATGAAGCCTGGGCATTCACTGAGCTCACTTTGAGCGCTCTCAACCAAACAACCGTGCGGCACGCTACGCTTTTCCTGCAATTCCTTCCTTTGTGTCTCTCCTGTCGACCTGCTCTAATGGGCAAACCGTGTGGTATTAACTGAAAGCCTCGTAATTTCCAAAACTCAAACAAGCCACCGTGCACAATATGTCGCAGCCGAATATAATCCGTAGATGTGTTTACTGTATTTTTGAGGAAGTGCCTTACACGTCATATGGCGCAAAACAAACTGCCATCGACCAATCAAAATCAAGAAAGAGGTGTCCTGAATATAGGTCAGCCAATCAGATGCGCTCTTCCCGTTCGTTTGAAGTCACCTGAAAAGTCAAAACAACAAAGCCCTCGTGTTTTGGTTAACTTTATCTTCTCGCTTTTTTGGAAATGGCGATTTCTGTGTTCCCTGGTTGTTCGATAATTAATGTGTCACGTAGACGATTTGAAAATAGCATACATGAACCTCGGCCGACGTTTTGTATGACATAAAATGTTTCTCTAAAAACGAATGTATTTTTTGATGTAAATAAGGTTTTTACATTTGATAGAGGAGAGGACAGACGAACATGATTATATGTTGGTCACAGCTGGATGGACTTTGCACGTTCTCTCACAAAAGTCCAATATTGTCTGTTTGCAAACATGGGCAGGGAGGCTAACTGACACTGACTGAAAACCATAATGGACATGGTGTGATAATAAATGTTAAGGACCAAAGAAAAATACCCTTAAACAGTTCAACTGTAGAATAAATGAGTTCCGTTTATTTTGTATTCATAGTCATACAAATTGTCCCAAAAGATTACATAAACCAAGTTTCACCAGTACTTTATGGCAAGTGTTGATTATGTAATAGTGGCATTAATATAAACTGCATTTTTACAGTGTTTGACTAGACAAAGGTAAACTCTGTGCTTTTGATCATGTGGCTTGTTTGCACCTTCTAATATAGTTTGATAACAGGGTGGGATAATCAGACATGACTGCAGTTGCTCCTGCGGCAAATGCCGCCTCAATATCCTGTTCCACATTGCAAACAAAGAGATGAATCTAAAGAGAAACAAAGAAAAACATGTTGTTTTTTAATTCTGAAGCATGTCGGTACTCACAATTTGAGACCAGTGGCAAATTGCGTAATCACAGCCACTGTTAAGACAGTCTTTAGTTTTACTTTTTGGATTCAAATTAGACCAGTGTACTTTTTCATGTAACTGACACACACACACACACACACACACACACACACACACACACACACAAAAGCTATGACAAGTCTAACATTATTTTTTAAATGATGACAAGCTTGTAGGACTGGTCTAAGCAGTTTATGCAACCAGACAGTTTCTCACCGAAAACACGAGTTACTCAATACACTATGCGGTTTCTTAATATTGCAAAACAGGACATGATATAGCATGGCCACAAACCTGAATTCCTCGGTCTCTGAGGTGCTTGAACATCCCTTTTCTCAATGTAAGTCTGCCACAAAAATAAATAAATATGAAGTGCACAGAAAACCATTTCAAACTAAATTAAATTTGTAGGTTTATTTTGACACCACTACTAAAATGTTACCTTTCAATTAAAAAGATGACCAGACTGCTTCTCAAAATCCACATATCAGGTATATATTGTCTGTAGGAAAGAGCTTAGTGAATATGTATCTGTGTGATTACCAAGCACACAACATAGTATGAAAATTGTTAGTGTAAAGACCTGTTGAAGATTTGTGGAAAGTAGAACTGCAGGAAACTTTCTCCGAGGGGAACAAATGGCAGAAGACCAGTGTAGTACAACAGGAGCAGCAGTAGACCTCGATTTACAGTGAACATATAGGGCATAGAGGAGTTCTGCCATTGACAAAAAAAAAAAGAAACAAAGATGTAAGGAAGAGAAAAGTGTGTAGACTCTTTATTACTGAAACTAAACAGGTAGAGTCATAAATATTCACGCACTGATTTGCGACAATTTCTCATGGTGGAGGAGTCAGTAGAGGCCCAAACTGAGATGCCTTCTCTGTTGTATTTTTTCACAAGATCAGAAATCTGAAATATACAGTGTATAAAACCTAATGTTATTGTGGGAAAAAAAAGAAAATATAGATACGAGGCTTAGTAAATAGATGCAGTTAGATAGGGTTGAAAAATTAAGAGGAAAAAAATATTAGGGGCCAAAATGTGACTCGGGCATTGAAGTCCAAGTCAATAATGATGACCCCGCTCTTGCCTTCTCAATCAGCATGATGTTATTTTCTTTCACTTCAATGTTCACAGCTATATGAGGAAACTTGCAGAAAACATCCTCTAATAATGCAAAGTTTCTATCAGATCCAGTGCTGAAGTGGCCTGTACAATGGGAATTAATAAGTAATCATTATGCATTAATAACTATATTAATATACGTTGGCAATTTCATTGCTAAAACACACAAACCTGTCTTGAAGGTGACCTCGACTGTCTCTTTATAAGGTGGCAACTCCTGAAAATAAATATGAAACAGAAAGTTACGTTTTTATACATGTAAAGAGAACTCGAAGATGAGGGAAGGTAGTCCAAATGCAGTTTATTGGACAAACAACAATACAAGAACAAGGAGCAGGAACAACAGGAGCAGAACTGAGGACACCAAAACCACATCCAAGGGTGCTTCTCAAATTCCCTCCTCGTCTCCTCGATCCTCCATCATGCACGTGTCAATTCTCGCCCCCCAATACGACCCAAAAGTCCCCCCAAAAAAACAAAAACACAAGGTACACAAAACAGAGAACACTTCAAAATTTCTTAATGATTTTTAATGTTTTTGAAAGAAGTCTATTATTCACACAAGGCTGCATTGATTTGATCAAAAATACAGTAAAATAGCAATATTGTGATTGTGAAATATTATTAGTTTAAAGAATTTTGAACATATTTTAAAATGGAATTTATTCCTGTGATGTCAAAGCTGAATTTTTAGCATCATGCTGAAATATGTAATATGAAATCTTCAGTGTCATATGATCCTTAAGAAATATGTATTATTTTATCAGTTGAAAACAGTTTACTTAATATTTTTGTGGAAACTCATTGTTTTCAGGATTCTTTGATGCATAAAAAAAACAATATTTGCATTAAAAATCTTTTGTAACATTATAAATGTATTTAATGTAACTTTTGATTTATTTAATGCATCCTTGCTGAATAAAAGTACTGTTGTGTAGGTCCACATGGAAATCCATATCATGACAATGTATTAGATAATTATTTGTAAAAGCATATCAGGAGAAAATGTTAATGTTGACCTCTGACCTCCAAGTTTAAGGAGGAGACAGTGACATCTTGCCCAGTCTGCCTCAGGAGGTTCTCATCATGTGACACAATCACATGACCATCTTTAGTCAAGTGACAGTCCAACTCCAGCATCTCTGTGCCCACTTCAACAGCACTAAGAGGCAAACAGAGAGACATTTTAATCAACAGTCAGGGCAGATGTCAGGGCCAAATTCAAATTTACCACTGATTCCTTAGCTCAAGACGATTTCATTGCATCATATGACGTGGTTTCCCATCATGTAAATCTTTTCGCCATTTTTTATTTTTTTTTAAAACCTACTTGCTCTGATTTCACAAAAATTGAACCAGATCATCTCCAGACCATGCCGACAAAAAGTTATGGAAAAGTGAAGTTGATTTGTCAAACCATTCTCGTATACCGTAATATACCGTATTAGTGTGGTGGTATTACACCATATTTCATTCTCGCTGACATGCCCCAACTCATTAAAAATTGGAAATCCTGAGCTTTCCAAGTAGCCTATTTACAACATTGCGGCATGTACAGTGTGATTTGAAACGATCTTAAATGGTTGCATAAATCACACAGTTTGTAGCAGGCATAATAACATGGTTGGGAAAAGACAAACAGAAGGACAAATAAGTAGGGACTTAAAAGAAGCTGATACTGATTTACTGTTCAGTCCAAAATCTTTGAGGCATAGGCGGCCTCCCACTCACTGTGTAAAAGCCTCCATAGTGTTCTCAATCCTTTCACCACAGCCTGAGGACAGAGAACAGGAGGTCAGAAATTGTGGACCAACTCTCATACACACACAAACATAAAAATTCCTCAAAGAGTTAATCACTCACTCAGTCACATATTAACTGGCACTTTTTATAGACAAACCCCATGAGGAAAACATTCACAAACGCTGTCACAAACATTACCTAATGACATTCACTGACAGTTTTATGAAATAGTCACAAGATTTCTCTAACAGAAGTTTATAACTTTTTATGCTGTGTACTAGGCCATCTATCCTTGAAGGAATTTGGTTCTGACATGCATTGAGCAACAATTTCGGTTAATTTTTAACCATAATTGATTCGTCAACTACAGCATTATTACAATTAATTAGGTTTAGGCGAAGGCGAGTATCCCAAGCCCACGAGGTGGTTACTGACTCAGATTAGATACTGTACCTCCCCTATGAGAGATGTGGGTGCAGTAGAAGGCCGTCTGCTTCCTTCTGTGCAGAATATGAGGGTTCTTCAGAAAGTACAGTGACGTGAGAGCGTAGCCCCCTACTGCCGGAAGCAGGTAGTACAGGTAGCTCGCCATAATTCCCACGGGAAGTGGAAAGATGATGTTTCGTTTCGGGTGCTCTGAGTGAGAGCAGCAGATGAATGAAAAACATAAATCTGATCTTTGAAGAAAAGTTTTACTTTGTTCAATCAAAATGTGAATATTACACAATAATAACATTAAATAAATGTTTTTATATTCAGGCCTTGTTTCACAGACAGGGTTTAAATTAGCCCGGGATTAGGCCTTAGTTCAAATAGTATTTTACAAACGTTCCCTTAAAAAAAAAAAAAAATTACTGGTGTGATCTTGAAACAAAACAATAGCACTGACATGTTGAGTGCAAATTGCTTTCAATTAAAACAGCTCAAACATGCATTTTAGTCCAGTGCTAACCTTAAGCTTTCTCTGTGAAACCAAGGCTAGGTACATATATACTAAATACATAGCAAAAGTTTCAAATAAACATTTTTATGTATATGTCTGTGTGTGTGTATACATATGAAGAGTTCAGATGCAAAAGCCTCTAAGTGCCATTTGAAATTTTCTTCTAGAATGATCATTTTTATCAAGCTTGTATATTTAAGTTCAGTGATTTCACTTAAATGGCAATGATAATAACCTATTAATTGTTAAGTGAAATTACTGAACTTAAATATACAAGTTTGACAAAAATCATCATTAAAGAAGAAAATTTCAAATGGCATTTAGAGGCTTTTGCATCTGAACTCTTCATATACACACACACACACACACACACACATTGATGAATATTAAACAATAATAGCATTAATGTTATACTGAGTATTATACTCAATAAATAAATATTTTAATGTGTGTATATATATATATATATATATACATATATATAGACAACTTACCAGGACTATTTGATCCTTCAACTCCTTAATTGAGATATCCTGAGGTCTCTGATCCAAGAACACAGCAACTCCCACAAGCACCTGTCTTCAAAGTGTACGTTAATATGACTGTCCTTATCTTTCCTTTTTTTTTCTCCTTGTATCTCTCACTACTAGTTTCTCAGCCACTCCTTTTCTGATTTCTTTTACCTTGCCTGCCAATCATATTACTTTGCAAGAAATGTTGCCCAATGTGCTTCAAATCAAAGAAAAACTACACAGCAATGTAAAGGTCCCCCTTCACTCCTACTATCATTGCAACCGCAGCAGGGAAACAAGTCTTTCTCTCTAGGTGTGTGTTTGCAGTAATCAGTCAGTCATTGGTAGTTACACTCTTTGTGACTCCTAATTCTCTCCTCCTTTTTTTGTGACTAAATGGGGTATGGGTGTTTTGGAATGCAGTTTGCTTGACTTTTTGAGTGGATGTGGCAAGCACAGGTTGTCAGTGGAATATAATTCTGCTTGCACTGTACATGTGCTCTTTATAATAGTACATAAAAACCAAAAGCTCCATTTCAACAATGTCTCTCACACAGGTGATGTTTTCAGCACACTGGCTATTAATAAAGCAAGCCTTTATTCTAACGGGTGATTAATTAAGGATCACGTGATCTGTTATTTCTTTTGTCAAATGTCCAACTTGAGCATTTGTCAGTGATGTGCGTGCTCTTGTCCCATTTTTGTTAAGTAGTAAACATACATGTTCTCACTAGTGCAAATTAGGCGAGATTTAAAGGGAGCTTCTGTATCATTGCAACAGCTGGTAGAAGCGGAGGACATCATGTGATGTTTGGTCAGTATTCATGTTTTCGCAAATTTCAGGGTTTAACAGCAGCTTACGCTGGGATAAATGCAAACAGTAATAAACACTCTATTGGTTCTGCCTGTCACCAGAACAATTTTTGTTTTGTATTGTTCTGGTTTTGTATAGAATTGCTGAGAGACTGTTACTGAACAAATAAAGGGAGGCAGAGACAGTCAGACAGATGGGAAGCGAGGCTGAGTTAGACACTAATTATCCATTCCTAATTTGTAACACAATTGATTAATCTCAGTCTCATATAAAAATTGCAATGAATCAATGTATTAGGTGACAGTTTTGCATTTGAATCAGTATTAGAAAAGCACACCCTGAACCCAAACAGCTTGATATGTCTTGAAGAGCAGAATGCCTTGCAGCTGAATTCTCGAACCATGCTTGAACATGTTGTCGAAGCAGAGGAGTGGTCCAACTGGACTGGCAACTTGGCCAGTTTAAGAGGAAATGTTTAAGAGGAAAAAGAGCTCCCAGAAAACAAGAAAAAAATATTAGTCCATTCATTACACATAAAATAAAGAATCATCAACTTCCAATAAAGTTAACCTTTGCTCGGTTTGAACTTGACATGCACATGGTCCATGCTTTATTTTTCCATAGCTAAGGAAAGTTTTGTAGCTTTTGATTGATATGCCACTCCCCGCAGGAAACAGATAACTTCATTCTTCCATCATAACTAAAGGCTACTCAAATATGGCTAAAGACAAATAACTATGGCTGGCAGATTGTAATATATTCAAATATATTCAATAAATTCAAATATAATATAATATATATACATACACTAATTCAGAGAAAAGATAATTATTTTAAGTGGCAATAAAAAAATAATTGAGCGCAATTACATTTTCTTATTATTTTCATTATAAGTGCATGAGCAGAGTAGTTGATTTTAATTTGACACATGCACAACTTTTAAACAAAACAAAAACTAAAATACCTGAATTAAGAGAATTTGTTAATCCACTTTATAAAAGATCATTTGCAAATATTTAAACTTCAAAATATTAAATGTTAATGATATTTATGATTATTTAAAATAAGTGGAGTACAACCATTTCATTTTCATGTTTGTTGAAAAATATTAACTGTAGATTTCTGTTTAGTAAAAATCTGTCAAGCAGGACAAAAGGTTTTCTTTATTAAAAAAAAATCACAACGCAAGGACTTACAGTATAAGGAATTTTATTTAATATATGTATATAATTCTGTTTTTGTTAATTGTTTAATTTATTATACCCATAAGCATATACATAGACTATAACCATCCATAGCTCATTTCTCTTGACAATCTACCCATATTGTTTAATCATCTTTAAAATAATTCCTTATAAGATTCAGGGAAAAAAATAGACTTCAGAAAGAGTGAACAGACAATTATTTTTGACACCCAAAGCGAACAAAATGAAAGAAAAGCAAAACATACTTTAAAAAGGACAAGATTTAAAATCCCTTTTCGGTTTTTAAAATAAAAAAGACCACCAATATAACACCAGACCAGCAATAATCATAATAACAGCCATTAAAAGAACATTATGATATCTGCCTCCTTTGCAGGCTTTTGAAATCATATACTGTATGCGTGCAGGTTTATATGTAAGAAATACATCCTTAAGTGTGTGTGAGTGTGTGTGTGTGTGTGCACGCGTGTAAGACTGTTGACAGTCCCCATGGTCCCATTTACAATAAGCATATCATTGCCATTGACAATACAGTAATATAAATAATCTTTTTCTTGGTAATGAGTATTCCCCTCAGATCACAGAGCGGGATGATCTCCCCTCCTCATGAGGAAGCAGAGAAGAGCAGCTTCTGGTTGGAAAAGACAGACATACAGACACAGACATGGGACGCGACCAACCGTCATTGCCTGTTACATTAGATTTTACCCTAACAAGTGCCGGGTTAAGATAGACTTAAGCGTAGAAAGAAAACAGACAGAAACAAAGAACCTTTTGTCACAAGAATAGATATAACAAAATAAAATTGCACTAAAAACGGAAACAAAACAAAACGTTTGGTCATGAGACACAAAGTGCAGGTGCACCGATTGAAAAATGTCACGTGATTGACGTGCGGTGTGAATTTCCTCTGCAGTAGGGGCTCGTCTCAATGGGGTTTTACACAGGGTGGTATTAATTTATGCAAATCACACCCTGTATTTATACAAAAACAGCTACACACTGTGCCATTTTAACTCTTCCCACTTGAACATGCTTTCCTCATCCACGACTGGCCAAAAGCAATGACGGTTTCTTTAAAAACAGCTCTTTTATTCTCCACTGATTCCACTTATTTCATAAAGGCAGGTTGTTACGTCTTAGATGCAATGCATGCAGAGTAAGTCAGTTCGACACTAGATGAGCCAATCACAGGCAGGAGAGGCATGAGGTCAGCAAGCCCTGTGGAAAAGCCCTTTGAAAAGTTCTGACATCACAGGGAGGGAATGAGGAAAAAAATGTGCTATGGCTCTGAAAGTGTTAAGCTTGGCTATGATTCCTCAATCACTCCAGGACAAGGGAAGAAAAGCAAAACAAAAGAGAACAAGGAGGATGCGAAATAAAGAATAAGGGACCGATTTCTGCGAGTAACAAAGCCAGAATGTGGGGAACTATGTGTGACTTATCAGAAAGGAATCATGGCAACAGTAGCCATGGACATGGTAACCAATGACAACTATTGTTATCCACAAAGAAAACAGTATCAACCCCCCATAAAAAAAACACACACACACACACACACGATAAAGGTCTGCACAGACCCTCCATGAAATGAACAGACGAGAGGGAGGAGGGAAAGGAAGCCAACATTAAAAAAAGAAAAGATGATACTGATGGCTTAATTTTCCCAAGAACATTGGCAAGAAATAGTCTCAGTTCTCAACAGTAGAACATGATATTTTACAGCAGATGATCCTATTCCATCTTGCTCTCTTCCCTTCGTTCAACCTTCCTGTCGCCGTTTCTCGTTTACACAATATATTTCTCAAGAATCAAAACAAGACCTCTTTTTCTCACAACAGAAAACAAAATAAAAGTCTAAGCTTATTAAATGTAACATCATTTGTCTTTGAAGGAATTAAAAAAGAAAAGAAACACAAGCAATGACTTTATATTTCAAAAGATTTTCAAATATAAATTCCCAACATTACAAAACACGATTTGTAACTGATCTTAACGTTCAAATTACAGTGTACATACAGATCGCCAACTTACAATACTCCAATGAAACTCAAAACCACTTATATATACACACACACACACTAGTCAGTGCCCATCATAGAGATTTTCTCTTTCACTCTCTCTTCATCTCTGTTGGAATGGGGAGAAAAATAAAAACACCCAGAACAGCACAGACCAGTAAAGAGACACCCTTCGAGAGAGACATAAAGAGAAAGAGACGGATACAGAGAGAAGCAGGGTATTCATAGAAAGGGTGAAAGATGCAATTGTTTCAGAGAGTAGGATCTGTGTGCGGTATGCAAAGAGAATAGAAAGTCTGACGGCCTCCATTAATGGCATTATGATAAGATGTTAGAAGCCCAAACTAGCGCACAGCTTCCCAGCAAGAAAGAGAGATGGACAGATAAAACAAAGTTGAAGTTTTTAAATGTACATTTTTTCCTCTTTTTATCTTTTTTTTTAATGTATATATGCATGTATATGTTTTTGCAGGTTGTCAGGAGTTATCTTTATTTGAGACTCCACGCTGCTCCATTATTCTCAATGATGGCTGCAAAAAAGGATTACTGACCATCAGTGGACATCAACAGGTTAATACTTTGAGTTTAAATAAATAAATACAATTAATTTAAATATCATTATTTTTTAACAAACACAAATAATGGTCTGTTCAGTATATTAAAGGATTAGTTCACCCAAAAATGAAAATTCTGTCAGTATTTACTCACCCTCACGTTGTTCCAAACCTCTATGTGTTTATTTGTTCTGCTGAACACAAAGGAAGATATTTGGGAGAATTTTTTAATCAAACAGATCTCAATCCCCATTGACTACCATAGTATGTATTTTTTCCTACTATCAATGGTAGTCAATGGGGAATGAGATCTGTTTGATTAAAACATTCTTCCAAATATCTTCCTTTGTGTTCAGCAGAACAAATAAACACATAGAGGTTTGGAACAACGTGAGGGTGAGTAAATACTGACAGAATTTTCATTTTTGGGTGAACTAACCCTTTAACATGCATGTATCGAGAATTCTTTTGAAGGTTATATCATTTGAAATGATCTTTTAATGAAAGCAATTACAATAATTACAATTCAATTTAAGGAGAATATAAAAATTGCTTTCATTAAAAGGTCATTTGAAATTATATAACCTTCAAATAATTCTCAATACATGCATGTTAATATACTGAACAGACCAAATAATTATGATTAAGATCAAATAAAATATATTTTTTTAATTGTTGAAGGAATAGTTCACCCAAGAATAGACAGCAGTTTTCAAATCTCATTTGTACATCTACATCGAGATGCATTGCCAATATGAATATGCCAAATAATGCACTTGCACAAATTAGATTCGAGAATAACCATTCAAAGATCTTGCACAAATATAGTGCACGAGTCAAATAGACAATTTTAATTTTAATTCAAAAGTACTGCTTAAATATTTTAAAAATTAATATCTTGTCTTTGTGTTTCATGGAATAAAGCAAGTCATATATGAAGGTGAGTGTCATCATTTCATTTTTGGGTGAACTATGTCTTTAATTGCTCATGGCATTTGACTTCCTCTAAATAAATATCTTTTCTTGAAATCTATCATTTATTTCTTGCATGCCGTAAAATGTAGTATATATAAATATATTAAACTTAGATATTTTTAAAAATATCTTTTCTTGAAATCTATAATTTATTTCTTGCATGCCGTAAAATGTAGTATGAATATATTAAACTTAGATATTTTTGTCAAGTGCTTGCGTTTTTGTACCTGTCCCTCTCAAGAGCCCTGGTAGTTGGCCTGGAAGCGTGCCGTCTCCTCAAAGATGAGCTCTTTCAGCTTCTCTTTAGGAAGGTCGTCCAGCTCCATGTTGAAAGTGAAGGGCTCCTCAGCCACCGGCTAAATTTGCAAACAACATGACATTCTGTTAAGCTTAACTAACAGATATGGGATTGTACAGATGACAGATTGAAGGGGAGTGAAATGGATGCAGCTGGAGAGGGGAAAGAGAGATACCTCATCTGAGGGGTCATAGTACTGCTCCAGGTAGGGGTGGGCCAGTGCTTCCTCCACGGTTATACGTTTGATGGGGTTGAAGGTTAGCATGCGGTCCAATAAATCCAGAGCTGAAACGCAAAAGTAGGAGTACATAAAGAAGTTCCACACTACTATGTTAAATTTATGATTACAAAAGAACATTCATTAGTGCTACTATACAGCCTATAAATCACACACAGCTAACAAAACACAAACCGATGGTCACAGAAAAAAGGCATACCAGGATGTAAACTTACAAAAACAGTAGTTCATTTTTCTTTTTTTGTCTTTCCAGCCAAAGTTTCATTAAACATACTTGCACAAGGCAGCCAGACCATCAAAAGACCATTTGTTGACACCCACATTTGTTCAGTACTCCCACATGCACAAACGCACACACTTGTATATGGACTCTCCATAGACGTAATGGTTTTATACTGTACAAACTGTATACTCTATCCTCGTACACTGTGTCTGCAACAGATGTGACAGTTTGTCTACACACTAGACGCTAAAGTGACTGTTGCATTTATTCTTTGTGTCAGAAGAACGGAAATGGAATGGGACATCAGTTTACTTTTGGGAATTTGTTGTGTCACACCACATCCAAAGTAGACACCATTACTGACTATAATGGGGTCTCCTTGGATTTGTCACATCACACCAATCGCATCCAGTGAAAACACAGCGTTACACTAACCCTATCCATCACAGAGAACTTTTGCCATTTTTTTTTTATAAAACAAAACATTTAGCTAGTCCATTCACTAAACATTCCTAAAGACCCTAATGCGTGAGCTTACCTTTGTTGTCTGCTTTGGGGAACAGCTTGGTCCATGGGATTTTCGGTTTCTGGGGTAAAGACTGGAGGTAGTTCCTGGCCTTCATGTTGATGATGCAGTTTAGATCATCTTGAGAGGGGGAGCCCAAAATACCTGGTTGATGGGGCAGGAAAATGAACACACAATGAACAAGCTAAAATGCTTGCATGCACAAATGAGTCAAATAACAATACAATGGTCATCAACTAAAAATCCTTGTTTCTACAATCTCCTTGAGTTTGCTTGTGTAAACCAGACAGCAAGCAAGAACATGATGCTGAATAAAAAATTAAATGCTAATGCTAAAATGCTAGTAAATTGTTTTACTAACGTTATATTTGTCCCTGTTTAAGCTTTTAAGTTTTTAAAAGGGAGTAGAAAATTCTTCTGAAAACAATATTTTGGCATCAATTCATTCAAAATCTATCTTGTTAGAAGATTCTTAACCCAAATATAGTTAAACAAAACTATATGCAAAGTAGAAGCTAAATGTGGGTTCACTTGCAAAGGTAAATTATTTATTTATTATATTTATATTTTATTTAAATTATTATTATTTATATATTTTAATGATTGATTAAAGACATTTTTGCTTACTTTCTACAATAAATAATTTTGGTACTGTGCTGGGATGCCACTTAAGTAATAAAATGAATATACATTTAACTAAATACATACTAAAATAGATTTCATGTCAAAAAAAAAAAAAAATACACAGATCCACTGCTTTAGTAAATAGTCTTAACATAATATGACATTTATTCCTGTGATTTTAAAGCTGAATTTTCAGCATCATTACTTCAGTCTTCATGCTAATCTGTTGATCATTGTTTGATATCAATGTTGAAAACAGTTGTGCTGCTTCATATTTGTGTGGCAAGCAACCATGATACATTTTTTTTTACAGGATTATTTGATGAATAGAAAATGTGGAAGAAAAAAAAAACAGCATCTTTACCATCACTTTAAATGATCATTTAAATGAGTCATTAAATAAATGAAGTATTCATTAAATCTCCATGACCCAAAACCTTGAAACTTTTATGTTATTTCTGAACCTAGGCCCAGGGAAGTTAGCTGACAACATTGCACACTGTTCAGAAGCTGATAGTCTATTCTGTTCAGAGTGTTCCCTGATTTCACTGATACAGTGTCACTTCTTACTCCATGCAGATGCATACAAACTCATTTTTATATGTTATACTTTAGGTAGTGCAGATTTGAGAATAAAAGAGAAGTCGGAAAAAGAGGAAATTCCATTTAGCATTAGACTTGTGCTCTTACCCAATATGTGGTTGAGCTGGTCCAGATAGTGCTTTCCAGGGAAGATGGGTCTGTTGGACAACATCTCAGCCAGGATGCAACCCACAGACCAAATATCAATGGACATTGTGTACCCCTGAAAGATAAAGTGATCATGTCAAAATATGCATCCAGTTCCTATCTGAAATGCTAAAGACAAACACGCATGCACAAACCTTGGAGTTGAGCATGATCTCAGGGGCACGGTACCAGCGAGTAGCCACATACTCCGTAAGGAATCCAGTGTGGTCATGTTCTGGATCGGCTATCCGTGCCAGCCCAAAGTCACAGATCTATGGGTGAGGAAATATAATTGTCCTCGATACAACCCTCCAACAAACAATTCTGCTTAATAAAAGCCCATAACTTCTATATTTAGCTTCACTAAGATCAATGCCTTCAGATTAAACAAAGTACAAGAACAATATTACTAAATTTGGTCCTGCAATCCACAAAAATATCTTCACCAAAATAGATCTATTACAAAATAATTTCCACTCATTAAAGTCACATTTATTTTATATTCATTTAATTTTTAATGTCAGATTAAAAGCTGCTGTGTTTTTACCAATTGTTTACTAAACACTACTTCTTATACTAAGAGTTTTATGTTTGGTTGTTTAATTTTTGCTATTCTGACCTTGAGGTCACAGGTGGTGTTGATGAGAAGGTTTGAAGGCTTCAGGTCTCTGTGCAGGACATTGGCAGAGTGAATGTATTTCAGCCCTCGCAGGATCTGGTACAGAAAGTAGCAGATATGGTCGTTGCTGAGTTGCTGTGTCTTCAGCAATTTGTAAAGATCGGTCTCCATCAGGTCCTGTACGATATAGCTGAAACGCAGTTAAAGAACTACAACGTAGCGTACAGTATTTTCAAGATACAATTTGGCCAAGTGCATTGTGAGCCAGTTAGTGTGCATGTTTAAGGATACACATCCCTCATAAATTCGATGCGGCGAGCTCTCAGGATGTCATTGATGCCTATGATGTTCTCATGACGGAACCGCAGGAGGATTTTGATCTCCCTCAGGGTGCGCTGGCAGTAAGTCTGATGTTCAAATGGACTGATCTTCTTAATGGCCACTCGGATCTTATTCACATTATCAAAAGCTGAGCTGCAGGCGGCAGTAAAAGAGATGATGGGAGGAGAGGAGAGAGAATAAAAAATAAAAATAACTCATACAAGCTTGTGCACGTATTTAACTCGGATAGAATGTGGTAAAGTTAAAAAAAAAACCTGCATGCTTCAGTGGCACATTTGAAAGTAAATGGAGGTTAATTTAAAAAATATTTAGTGTCAAGCCATACTAAATATCATATGAGCTGTTTAATTTTTACAGGTCTAAATTTTTTAAACTGTTTTGTGTGTTTTAGAAATTACATTTAAATAAAAAAATAACAATTAAATGTTTATATATATATATATATATTATTTTTATTTTATAAAAATAAAAAAAATAAACAGCTCATATGATATGTAGTATGGCTTGAGGTTGACACTAAATATTTTTTAAATTGTGTGCATGTGTGTGGGTGTGTATATATATATATATATATATTTAATTAGGGCTGTGCAAAAATTAATTGCAATTAATCGCATCCAAAATAAAAGTCTGCGTTTACATAATATATTTGTCTGTGCTGTATATAATTATTTTGTATATATAAATACACACAAATGCATGTATATATTTAAGAAAATGTGTTATACATATATAAAATATTTATATTTATATAATATAGATTTTGTATTTATATATATATATATATATATATATATATACATACAGAATTTAAGCGCAAATAATTCTTAAATATATACATGCATGCATAGGTATTTATAAATACAAAATAATTATATACAGCGCACACAAATATATTATGTAAACACAGACTTTTTTGGATGCGATTAATCGCAATTAATTTTTGCACAGCCCTATATATATATATATATATATACACACACACACACACACACACACATACATTCATTTAAGAAAAGACATACATTTACCAAATTGAACATCAAATCAAAACCTCAAAATGACAACATTTTTATATAATTTAAAAATAAAAACCTGTGAGATTGCACAGGCCAAATTATCCAATTTTTTTGATGCGTTTAAAACTACTGAAGTGCACTGTGTTTGTGGAAAATATCTAGTATTTAGATTCTCTATATTTTTCTTCTTCTTACGCAGCAGTCTGATGTCCCTAACCAAAGATATCCATAGAAGGCCTTAGTGTTTTATTACAGGGGGTTTGTTTACATCCTCCTGCTCAACTTGACAGTCATTTTGAGGATGGAGGGCAGACCAACGAGCTCAGCTCTGAATTGTGCACATTATCTATTTTGCTAACCATAATTTGATGACAAACTATATTTAAAAAATGGTGGGAGAGTAGTTTTACAAAAATCGCAAAAATATTTCCTAAAACAATTAATCCACATTTGGCCGCATCGTAACCACGCCTGTTTTACGAGCTGAGAGTGAGATGTCAGATTGCTAGCTGTGGCGCTAACAGCCCTAGCGTGCAGATTCAGAATGCAAACACACTAACAAGACTCCTAAAATCAAGACTGACAAGGGACATTCAACGTCTGAACTAAATGCCTGTTCTCAATAACACCGATTTGCGTACAACTACACACTGTTTGTGCCTTTAAACCAAGTGGGCTGCCTACTTAGAGGATTTTTTAACATTTTAAACGTGCCTATGATGCAAACATGGAAAGAGAATATGTTTATGTAGGCAGTTCGCTATGTCCTGAAACACAGCCAATGTTGAAGATATGGGATTAAATCCAATGCATTAACGTTACTCAAAATCTATTGTTAGCCCTGATATTCTGGGAAGGATATGCACAAACTTGTTGAGCCAAACAAATTATTCTGTTGATTTCGAAACAACGTTTATATCTGCTTTACTGTCCATGGAACTGGAATGCTATTAGTTTGCTATCGGCGAATCAACACCCCTTTTTTTCTTTACTACGAAAAGCTGATAAGTAGTAACGTACTAACGTTAGCCCACTCGCCCCGATCCAACAGAATCTCCATCGAAGTGTGCGACTGCAAAGACGAGCAGTTTCCGCTTACCAGACCATTCCATAGGCCCCCTCCCCGATGTACTGGAGATCGGTGTATCGGGGGCCAACGTCAAAATTTTGTCCCTTCACCGACTCCAGGCCAGGCTTGGATCCCGCCGCTCCATTCGCTCCCCCGGGTGCGACGGCTCCTCCGGTCCCGGCGGCGCTGCTATTCGAGCCCGCGGCTCCGACCGCCGCCGCGCTGCTGCCCGATTCCGCCATCGTTTCTGTCCACAAATCAGTCGACTTCGCTCAGTCTTTGGCGGGAGGGGGGCTTGTATATGCCTTCAGATCAAATACAGGTTTATTGGATAGCAAAAGCTGCCGTTATACGGTGCGCTTTCTTGACAGTCGAAGAGGAGTCGTCAAGGCCCCCCTGTGGATGCGAGTGCGGAACGAGCGTGCATCTAAACGGATCGAGAGCGCGAACGCGCATTTCTCCTGTACAACATTCGGGGGCGCGCGCTGAAAAGGCACAAAGCAGACGCATTTACACAGCACTCGAGTGGGCGTGCAGAATGCCTCCCACGGTTACGGTAGGCACTCCGGCGTGATTTACAGTTTGTGGTGGGGGGAAAAAATAAGACAGAAGAGGATATCTTAACAAGAAGTGCAAGAGAAATAGTATACATATTTTCCATTAATGTATGCATCTGCATGTATAAATTATGTGATACAGTATATGCACACTCACGCAGAGACACACAAGTGCATACACACACACTTATGTAAACAAATTATTATGTATATTATATAATACATGTCGATTTGACAGCACTACAATATATATATATATATCCACACACATGTATATATTAAACCACACACACACACACACACACACACACACACATATATATATATATATATATATATAAAACCAAAACCACATATATACATACATATGTATGTATATGTATATGTATGTACAGTATATATATATATATATATATATATATATATATATATATATATATATATATATATATATATATATATATGAAGAGTTCAGATGCAAAAGCCTCTAAGTGCCATTTGAAATTTTCTTCTAGAATGATCTTTTTATTAAGCTTGTATATTTTAAGTTCAGTGATTTCACTTAAATGGCAATGATAATTACCTATTAATTGTTATTTAAGTGAAATTACTTAACTTAAATATACAAGTTTGATAAAAATCATCATTAAAGAAGAAAATTTCAAATGGCATTTAGAGGCTTTTGCATCTGAACTCTTCATATATATATATATATATATACAGTATATGTATGTGTGTATGTATGTGTGTGTGTGTGTGTGTGTGTGTGTGTGTGTGTGTGTGTGTGTGTGTGTGTGTGTGTGTGTGTGTGTGTGTGTGTGTGTGTGTGTGTGTGTGTGTGTGTGTGTGTGTGTGTGTGTGTGTGTGTGTGTGTGTGTGTGTGTGTGTGTGTGTGTGTGTGTATATATACTGTATATGTATGTATGTATGTGTGTATACATATGTGGTTTTGGTTTACAGACTGGCAACTTGAATATTATTTATAATTTGATCCGTTTAAACCTGTCCCAAAAGGAATAAATTGTGTCCATTGTATTGGGTACGACTGTCCTTGATAAACTGTATATGATAAATTATAAATGTAAAAATCTACTACTAGAGAAATTTTTACCGGATTTTACCATGGATTTTACGAGTCAGCAGAGCACCCTAGTGGCTCGTAATCATTACAGCAAGTCGCATGAATTGCGTCACTGAAAGGATGGGCTGATCTCTAACTTCCTGGTTACTGCAGCTCTGTTATTATATTAATCTGGAATGAAAACTGTTTCCCGTAACTGGGCTGCATCGGTGCAAGTTGCCCTTAGTCTTCTTGGGCTTCCGTACTCTGCTGGTTCAAGTGGAATCTGGTATGTAAATTACTGTAATGAATTAAATTAATTTTAATTTTGAAGCTGTAGTTGTGATACAAGTTTAATTTCATTTTCATTTCATTGTACATTTTCTTGCACTACCTTATATTTTGTATTGTGAGTATTCAAATTATTATTATTTAAAATTGAAATTGAAACTTCAAGTTTAAATGAATGGTTTATTTTAACCCATTTTCAGCAGCAAGAACGCCATTAACAGGATTCCCAGTCTCTGTTCATCAACATCTGTCTACATGTCTCCTGTCGCGCACATTAAGGCTCGTTGTCCAGTATATCCTGGCTCAGACACACGCCGCTTTTCTGTCCCAGATGACAAGGTTGACTGGGAGATAGACTGGCCCCAGTACAACCCTGTTAACTATACGGCCCCCGCTGTGCTGAAAAAGCCTGTTTGGGCTGACCCAGAGATTGGGTGTGTAACTAACAAATATGTAAATCACACCATGAGTAATGAAAAGAAATCAAATAAATATTTTATTTGTTAGCATTATATACCAATATATTTTTCAATCCTAAACGCTACACTGAACAATTTCATTTACAGATTTAAATACACACAAGTGAATTATAGTGATTAAAATTAAAACGTATACCTGATAATATTTTTAAATATATGTGTCAAATTGTCTTATAATGCATTTAGACTATTTACACTTCCTTTAGCGCATTTTCCCCACAGTTCAATTCCTTGGATGGATCTGTGGACAGGAGAAGCCATGACGACCCATATCGTATCCAGAATGGAAAACCACTGTGAGTCAAAGTCAAGTCCCCTTTATTTATATTGCGCTTGTATCAAAGCAGATTCAGCGTAATTATAAAAGTTCAGTTCAGCAATAAGCTGCTCTACTGAAGACGATAGTGTAGTTATTTAGCTCGATTCAGTTAAATGTTGATTCAATCCAGTTCAATAACTGTTGATGCTGCAAAATTAATATTAGGAAATGAAGAGATTCAAAACATTAAAATACTAGGTCATCCAAAATATTTAAATACTTGCAATATTTACAAGGCTTGATTTGCTGCTTATTAAAATCTATGCGCTGTAAATCATCCTCAGTAATCCACATGGAAGAACTGGACTCGAGGGCAGAGGATTACTGGGAAGGTGGGGTCCAAACCACGCTGCTGATCCAATAGTTACCAGGTACTAGAATGTGTCATAATAAACCTTTCAACTGCAGTCTTTCTCCCATTTGACTGGTTTAACAATTCCAAGCATGCAAAGTATTTTATGTTCAATGTGGTAGAGTTCACAATCACATGCTTAAAACAATCACCCATTCATATTTCCTGTGGCTGTTTCATACAGGTGGAAAAGGGACTCGGAAGGACAAAATGTCCACCACACTACCTCACAACTACCCATGCTGCAATTTGTGTCCATCAAGAGGTTGGACTGCGGCGAATGGGCCATCCCAGGGGTGAGTATAAACTGCGATGCTTATGTAAGCATTTATCTGTTATATATTTTTAACAGGGACCATCTCATACAATACATTTTGAATCAAATTTTCAGAATGGTTATTTTGAGTGAGCAGCTTCATATATAATTAATCATTCTGCTAATGTGCTAACATATGTTAAAATCTTTTGTTGTTTTGTTGTTGTGTGTTCAGGGTATGGTGGACCCCGGGGAGCGCATTTCTCAAACACTGGAGCGCGAGTTCTCAGAAGAGGCAATGAACTCACTGCAAGCATCTGCAAGTGAGAGAGAAAATATCCAAAAGCGAATCACTAAGCTTTTCAGCTCAGAAGGTCTTCAGGTGAGATCATGTGTGGTTTTCAGTGTTTAAAGGTGCAGCCACATAGAGAAAAAAGCTCCATTGTCAATAGTGTAGTGATGCATGAAACACACGTCAGAATGAGTAATGTTGTGTGACCACACCTTAATAGTTGCAGTGCTTTATAACTCAGCAACTTTTTTCTATAGGTGTACAAAGGTTATGTAGATGATCCAAGAAACACAGATAATGCTTGGATGGAGACAGTTGCGGTCAATTTCCATGATGAATTGGGTATAAACAGTATATTGATGAAATACTTAATAATAAGTACATTGTTCGACCGCACGTTTTTGATTCAGTTTTTTTTTTGCCCCATCTAGGCAATAGTGTAAGTGAGCTTCCATTGCAAGCAGGCGATGATGCTGGTCAAGTGAGTTGGATTGATGTTGACTCCTCCTTGGACCTTTATGCGAATCACTTGCATTTCCTGGAGACAGTTGCTAAAGAAAGGAATGCCCACTGGTAAAAACTGGAAACTGCCTTTCTACTGTGACATAAATGAAGGAAAATCTAATTTGACTGAAGCATAAGAAGAACTGTAGCTTGGAGACATGATTCAAATGTAAACTAGAAAAATCAGTTCTGGTGCTGGCATATATTAATATGGAGTGTGACCCGTCTCAACACTGCCAAAACTTGCATTGCAATAAGCAAAATATCTGTACACTTTTTATAAAATCCTGTATAAAGCATGGCTACCGAAAATGAAAGCTTACTGATTATTTAAGTTATTCTTGTTAGACTGAACTGAACACTATTACCTGAATAAGAACTTGGTCAGCGTATGCATGTACCGTCTATGTAATAACCAAAAGAATAAACCATCTCATATTGTGCACTTACTCTGTGTGTTGCTCTACCTTTTGTCTGCTGTGCTGCTGCTTTGATAATGAAGTGGTTCAATTCATTTTATTTTGACATATTCAAAACCAATCACTAGAGCAAGAAATATGAAAAAACATTTTAGTCCGCTTGGTCTGAACATGAATAATGTGAATTCTCTGAAAGCCTGTTTCTTTTGAATTGTTATTAAAGGGATATTACTGGTTACAATTTGCACACAAAAAAACCACGAGGGACATTTAGGCACTTCAGTTGTGTAAATTCACGCATTGCCTTTTTCAACAGATTTTATGTCATCAATACAGCTGATATGTGAAAGAAAATAATTTGACGTTGGTTTTAACCTTGCAAAAATTGCCAGTCATTGTCCACTGAGCCATGTTGACATCACTGATCATATTATAGTCTTAGATTTCATTGACTCTTTTAGTTCGTGTGTGCTGCTAGATTCCACATTTGGACATTTTATAAAATAGTAATATATATATATATATAATATGATGTACAGCGGGTAAAATAAGTATTGACCACGTCACAATTTTTCACAGTAAATATATTTCTAAAGGTGCTATTAATATGACATTTTCACCAGATTAAAATTTAGAACTGATTATTTAACTGATTACCTTCTGAAAATGAAACCGATTCCAGTATGGAATGGAAAGATGATGGAAGGATAGTCCGAGATGTATGCCAACCACCACCACAGCTGTTAACTAGCTGTTGCAAAAGCAACAGTTATTCTTTTTCCTGTTGGATTTTGTTGTTTTTAATATTCTTCCAATATTGTGTATCTCATCTTCATCTATCAGAGGTGGTGCAGGTCCAGCCTATGCCTTCTTGCTGTTGGCCCAGTAAAAGTCAAATGTTAATTTCATTAGCCTAATTAAAAAAACAGATTGGATAAGAGAACTTTTAATTATGTGAAAAGAGCATTGCACTGTTGAACAGCATTGCATGTAGAAACAGCTGCTGCACATTGAAATAGATATAGTCATGTTGCCATGAACCTTTTATGCTTAAAGATTTAACTGATTGAATTATGAATTTGTTCATTATTAGTTGCTGCCACGTTCCTTTTTTCCCCTTTTTCTTTTCTGTGGGATACCATGAAAATGAATATTAGTTCTCTAGCCTGCGTAATCGTGTTTAGCTGCAAGCTGTCTTGCCTATGTCTCACTGCTGCCGCAATGCATTTGACATTTTTTCAAAATTAAGGATAATTTTTGGCTTCAATATCTTGTGGAAAAGAATTTTTTTTCCTAGCATAAGATATTATGCAGAACCTCGTAAGAGAACCCCATCTCAGGGTAAATCAAATTTGAACTCTGAGTTGATTGATGAATATGCTCATTTCTGTACAGATGTATATGCAAATATACAAACCTACTCATTTTATTTTTGTTGGGAAAAAATATCACCAGTTTGAAAATACAAAACTACCACATAATTAGGGACAGTCTTAACAGTTTCAAATACATTTTACAAGATGTAAGAGTTTAAGTTTGTATTGAGGAAGGAATGTGAAAGCCTATGAAAAAAACAGAACTAAACTGGTCCATTCACAGAAGTACTGCTGTTCTGCAGATAAAAATTGGCCAGTAAAAAAAAAAAAAAAAAAACGTTAAAAAAGGCAGTCTATTTGTTTCGGACACTTCCAAATGTCCTGCTGGACTGGGGAGTCAAAGGAAGTAATCAGCCACGGGTTTCTTAGAGGGGAGGCCTCTGGTTTCCTGAGGTGCTGCTTCAAATATGATAAACTCCTTCTGGAGATGCTCATCAAGCTCCAAAATGGCTGCCACATTACCACACCTAGGAAAATAGAACAAAAGAAGGAAATAAACAAACGTTCCTGGTGAGGCATTTCTTAGGAGAAGTAAATTAAGTAATGCAAAGCAGCATGCTTTCATCTAAATAATAATTTGTACACACAAGTTATGGAACCACTGTAAGAGTAAAAAAAAAAAACCACACACCTATAACAGTAGTTTGGCGCAGACCACACAGTTAACACAGTCTCACTGAAATGCCACTTGTAGCCCTCCATCACCAGCTGATGAGCTCTGCAGATCATGCTGATATCATTGGCAGCATTAAACTGCGCCACCACATCACTGCCAAACAGATATCCAGCCCCTCTTGGACTCACTCCCCACCCCGTGGTGTCTAGACACAAGAAAGGGAGCAAACAATCTTAGGTTTTTAGGTCAACATATTAAAGGTCCTTTCTTTATGTTGCAATTTATTAGTCTCTTACCCTCAGGGTCAGACCACAGAAGGTCACACATGGGTCCATCATGAGGAACTTCCTGCTTTCGGTCAATAGTTCTGATCTGATCCAAAGTTTGAATAGATGGAGAAAGCCCACCATGCACACAAAATATCTGAGGAGCAAAAACAGTATACATACAGTAACATTAAAAGGTTTGGGGTTAGTAACTAAAAAAACCCAAAAAAAACTGAACTTTTGAAAGAGACTGTGCATGCGTGTTTGAGTCTGTGTGTGAGTGCAGTAGAGATACTGTGTGTACGTGAGTGTATTAGAGATCCATCGATGTATCGGACGATTTTTGATCAATTTAAAAACATCAGAGGTGATATTACATTAGGAGTTTATTACATCCCAGGGGCAACTGGTACAACCATTAAGCATCTGCCTATTTAATATCTGCCTTGTGGCTAGTTGTATGTTTTTATAATAATAAGTTTCTTTTCTTTTTTTTAAAATAATTTTCATAATGTAATTAAATGCATATTGTAAATTCACAGTTGTTTTGATAACTCAACTTGCATAGGATTGATAGTTCAGCTATGTCTTTTGGAATTATAAAATAATTTAGATAGGTGGCCACAACTAAAGTGAAACCAGCAGGGATATGTGCCACCACAAACTGACACTTACCAATCAGGTTTTTCATACTGTAAACTACCATAACAGAAAACACCACAAACCATTATAAAGTGACACCTACAATTCTGAAATGCATTATGAAAATTGGGACCAAGCATTCAGAGGTGTGATGGAACTTGACATTGGCTCTTCACAATGTAATTTAGGTCTCAATATATTATATTTAATTTGTTAAAAAAGGTTTTATTTCTTGTTATTACATAATTCCATTAAAATTATAATTGTGTGTGTGTGTGGTTGAATGTAAAAGTAATAGAAAGTGGAAAGGTACTAATATATAAGAGGACCTACCTTGCCATCAACAATGGCAGAGAGGGATAAGTAGTCAAATATCTCAGTGCAGTACCTCCAGACTGTAACAGAGCCATATTTTCTAAGACACTCGTCATAAAAGCCATACACTTGTGTGATCTGCCTCGACTCGTGATTCCCTCTGATCAGCGTTATTCGGTCAGGGTATCGCACCTGAAGGCATAAACAAAGAACTGAGAACAGAACAGACTACAGGGTGTATAACAACTTTAACGCAGCTATAACATTACAAACAAACAAGATTCAAGAACTTCTAGACAGATATTGCACCTTAAATGCAAGCAGCAACAGAAAAGTCTCAACGCTATAAAACCCTCTGTCCACAAAGTCCCCCATGAAGAGGTAGTTTGTCTCCGGAACTTCACCCCCCACCTGAAAACCCAGAGGACAACAATCAGAATCAAATGACACACGCATTGGACATAAAAAACAAACTGATTCACCAAGGGCTATACAAATTTGAAAGTAAATGTCTTGTGAATTCAATGAATGCAATGTTGCATTCTCAATTGCTTACCCTAAATAGCTCCTTTAAATCATAAAACTGCCCATGTATATCTCCACAAACCTGCAAATAAAATAGTGATTTGGTTTCAATTCCATAATCCTATGAAGAGTTAGTTAGATTTATAAAGGAATACACACCGTGACAGGAGAATCTACCCTCTGAACATTACTCTCCTCCACAAGAATCTCCCTATAGAGCAAAACAACGACACTTGCAACATTAATTAAATCAACAACTTAAGAACAATCAGCAATAACCATTTAGATGCATATAAAAAAAAACATGCATACTGAGACATCTGGTCTCTTAAACACCTGAGTGTATTACCTCGCTTTGGCACACAGCGCCTTGACCTCATTTTCCTTGATAAGTTCACAACGTCTGAGTTGCTCGATCTGTCTGTCCAGGTCAATGACGTCGCCCATGATGACACACATGCATAGACTCACAGAAATACTCCTCAATGTGAGGCTGATAAAAACCCTGTTACTGGCTCTCCAGTCGTCAGTTAGTCTCACAGAGACCACGAACACACTCCCCCTCCCGAGAACTTAGGAGACCGTGCACATAATCAAACAATCCTGGAAGATGTCAAGATGAGAAAATAACTACAAAACAGAGACACACACACAAAAATCATCAGAAATGCTAAACAATCACAGTATGCTTGGAAATCAGACAAATCTCCTGAGTCTTTCAGTTTAGAAATAATATAATAGTAAGAATATAGTTGCATTCCAATGACTTTCTATTTAATATAATTTAATCTAAATATTTAAGGTTTTTAATATACAGAAATATTTGTTTTTATGTTACATTAAATCTACACTTTAATTGCGAGGCAAGAGTTTCAGTATTAGTTTTAATTATGCATTATTATAATTTAAAATAATACTAAAACTCATAACAGGACTTTAAATCTAACATCAATGTAACATGTCTGGCTAACTAACAAATTAAATAAAACAAATTGAACTTTTTGAATATCTTTAACTTAATTTGAAGAATCTCACCCTTTTGCTGTTTGTTTTGTTCAAAAATTAGCATTTTTTCTAATACATTATGCAAAGCCTCGTCTACAAAAATAGTGTTTACAGACAAAATTGGTAGCGTAAACACAAGAAATGCTTTGCTGTGCGTTTTAAAAAGAAAAAAAAGTTTCTGTTAAAATAAGAATTGCATTTCACACGCTGAAATGTACGTATAAATGCATATAGAATACCTTGGACTTATCGATTAAATTCGTTTAGGCATCCGCCGTTTCTTTTGTAGACGGTAGTTGGAAAAGCGGCGTAAGCAAGAGTGACCGTCGCATCAACAAGCCCGTATCAAACGTTCAGCTCATCTTTCAAAATAAAGGCGTCGATCACCTGTTTAACAAGACAGCATACATTAATTGCTCTTATTAATGACATGTCTTTAATTTATAATAAAACAAATGACAGCGAGAGAGGGAGAAGGAAACCCTTGTCTAACAAATTGTTAAGATAACGTTACTTATTAAAGAGCACTAAAGAGTGTTTTGTCATAATACACATTATAGTTACGTTTAGACCTCAAAAGTGAGATATATTAGGATTTAAGAAATGATTTAACCCATAGTTCAAGTTTATTACATTTAAGAGGACAATATGACTAGAAATTAATTAAAGAAATACCTTTTTGTTCATGTGGCAAACCTTTCCCACATTGACTGTTGAGTGTCGCTATTTTGAAATCTATTGTCGCGCTTTTTCCTGCCTGGGAATGCATGACGAAACGGACTGTGATTGGCCGAACCGGCGCGGCGAAAGACGTCCATGATATTTGGCGCCATTTGTCGAAAACAATTCAACTACACTAAAACCTACATTATTACAGAATATGGGCTCTCATTATTAGCGTCAAATACACTTTTGATTTTAGATTTACAAGCAAGGGTGGTTTCGGGTTGGATAGTACCGCATGTTAGGTTTGTTTTTCGCCGTTTTGGGGATGTATATCGATGTTTTAAAAATGTGTAGATAGATAGGCTTTGTGTTTACTTAAAGTCGTTGTTGTATTCTTAGTTTATACACTGTGATCTGTAATTTTGGAGCATGTATCAACGTATCAGCGAAGGAAGGAAAAGAACCGGTGAGTGTGCATTGTTTATGCATTTTCTATAAACTCATGACGTTAGTTGACAGGTAAGCTTATGATATTGCAACTACGGAGGCATTATTTATTCAAACTAACTGTAGCTTCCTGTGAATTATGAAATTATACAAAATTGCATATTGTAAATATGTTTAAATACACTTTGAACGCCTGATTCAATCATGTGTATTTGTTTTGTGTATTTGTCTTTAAACTCTTCTGAAACCTTGGATTTGTTTATTAATTTCATACAGATTTTTAGTTTTGGGGGTGAAACAATGGCTGGTGCCGTTGCTATGGCAGCTGTCATAGAAGATTTTGAGGGTCAGGTATGTGTTATATAAAAATTTGATATGTTGTTAAATGGCACTGATTTCATTTTAAAAATACACTGAATGATTTTCATCACTCGTCATTATTGCTCTGTTTCTCCAGCCATGCAAGAAATTGAGGAAGGATGGCAATGCACCATCTGTCAAAACTATTACTAACTACTTTATGCCAAAGCCAGTGGAGAAACCATTTTCACCACCACGGTCTAACAACATTATGGACTACTTTAAGAGAACCTCGCCTGCACAAGAAATAAAAAGCTGCTCTCTGGTAGCTAAAGAGAACTCCCCAGAACCTTCAGAGCAAGGAAGTCGAGAAGTCCCTGGAAAACCTATTAGAGGACAGGGGCAGAAGCGAACCAGGAAGGCCAAGGACCACAAGAAGTCCAAAGAGGAGGGTGCACAGATAGTCACAGATGATGTTGTCTTGATAGAGAGTACCAGTGAATCAGCTATAAAGGAAAAGGATATTGTTGTTGTTTCAGCTCAAGCCTGTAATGATGCCTTCTCCAATAAAGAATCTGGCGTGAGGAAAAATACCACAGAGGCTGATCCAGATGTCCTAAATTCTGGGGAAAGTTTTGAGCAAAAACCCTCTTTAAACCAAAGCAGGAAGAAAGATTGTGGGAACAGAAAATCTGCTGTGAGGAGAAACCAAAAGGCAAAAGGGGGCAGTGAAGAGACTAAGGAATGTGATGCTGATGCTCAAGAGCCTGCATGTGACGCTAAAATAGAGGAAAGTGCGGAAAAGAAAAGTGGCACCGTCACAATCTCATTTAAAGACTTCCTACAAAATCAGAACCAAGAGCAGGAGGAGAGCAATGCGATTCCCAAGACTGACACAGCTGAGACGTCAAATGAAGGCAACACCGGTAATGGTCAGAGGGATTCTGCTATCAGTCCTCTGCAGGTGTCACCCCGAACTCTCACGATCCAAGCTGAGGTGCATTCCATTTCCCCCGATCATCATGGGTCTGTCAAAACATCCAAGGATTTTAAAGTCGCATCCATTTTTAGTAGAAATAAAAAAAGTCAAACAAAAGAAGACAATAGTTTGTCTGTTCCTATCCCAGAGGTTAAACCGGACGTGTTGCCTGACCTCAAAAGGAAGTCTAACGTTGTTGTTCTCGAGGAAGATCTTGAACTTGATGTGATGGAATCCAGCTCCAATCCTCCTAAAAGCACTGAGGCGGAGAGAAAGCAGTTTATGAATGCCTTCAAGCAGCCTAGTCTTGATGGATTTAAAAGCAAAACCAGCAAGGGTCAGAGCAAGCAGAACCAAGTTCAAGAGAAGGATCCAGAAACAACAGACAAAGAACATGAAGAAAAATCTCTTGAGCACAAATCCGAAACAGCTTTGAGCAAAATGAAGAACAGAAGAGCTGTCCTGGGGACAAAAAGAAGCGAGGTAGGAAAACTGGGAAAAAGGGACAAGCTAAGAAAGCTGAAGATGCACAAGCTGCAACTCCAAAACCTGAAGAACCCGCCCCAGACATCGAGGTCAACAATGAGAATAGGTCAGCTGATAATAACAACAGTGAACAGGCTGTCAAAGAGCTGAGGAGGTCGACCAGAGAGCTTTCACGCAGACAATCAGCCACTGTTCTTAATAGCGTGTCGCAGAAGAAAGAGAGGCAAGAGAACACTGTGAAAGATGATGATGAGTCCCAAAATGCACCCTTACCCTCTTTGGCCTCCACCCCAAAAGCTCATAGGCCCAAAAGGGGCATTTATAGAGCTGAAATGCTGTCCCCACCAGACAAGAAAGGCAGCCCCATCAGGTGAGACTAACTTTTTAATTTCCTACAGTCTCCTTTTATTTTTTCTTGTTATTTATTATTTTATATTTTATTATTTATTATATTATTATTTATTCTCATGTATTTGCCATTTTGTTTGATAGGATGAAAATCACCAGAGTATTTCCATCCTCTGCTACAAAACTTGGTGATTTTGAAATATCAAGTCCTCTCTCCACACAGGTAACTAATATTTATGATTTATGTATGTTATACATATGTAAAATAATGCTATTTTTTATATTTTAAACATATTATCATTTTTTAATATTTATAATTTTGTTTTTGAAAGTGTTTTATATAGTTGATTTTAATTAAGAAAATCTATACAATAACATAAAAATAATAAATACAAAACAAATGATTTAATAATTAATGTCATTGCCAGATAACTCACAAAAACTCTCATTTGTTAGGAATTAAATGCAGTTAAAAAAAGAAAACAAGCTAGAAAGCTGGTGCAGAAAGCCAAAGCTCTTCAGCAAAGTAAAAAGGATACCAATAAGGAGAAAGACACTGTACGACGCTCTACAAGAGGCAAAGAGTCAGTCATAAATTACTGTGAAGATGAGGTGAGATAGCATCTTAAGTAAATTGGTGTAAATGTTTTATAAATGCTGCTAATAATTTCTCAAGTTATTCTCTCATTTATATCAATGTCATCTTTTTAGGACTCTGTAGTTTTTTTGGATAAAACCGAAAGCACTCCAGTCACCTCACAGGAAAGTAACAAAAGCCAAAAGAAGATTCGTAGTTTGAATGAGGTTTTGGGTAAAACTACAACTCAAAACAAAACATCCAAAACTCCTGCAGGTAACTTGGATTGACGCAAATAGTTAAAATTAACTTAATATCTGAATGCAAAGATGGAAACTGCATTCAAGTCAATTGAAAAATGCATTCGCGTCTATTTCCGATTTATTTTTCAGCTTCTAAACTGGCTCCTCTGTTTGTTGACAAAAAAGCCCAGAGAACGTCTGTTGTCATCTCCATTTTTGACGACAGCAGGTATTGCTCTAATGAAAACAGACAGTATTTGAATTAGCTAATTCTCTTTAATGCTCTTATTTTCTCATTAGTTTAAAAATCTAATAAAAGCTTTTTCCCAATCTAAACCCTGTCAGTCTAGAGGCATCTGAGAACTCGCAAGATGATGAACAGTTCAGAGCAAAGAGAGAGTTTCTGAAGAGCGGCCTTCCGGAGTCTTTTAAAAAGCAGATTGCAAAAACAGCAGCCAGCCGAGAGGCTTATAGTCAGGCCTGTGCTTCCTTCCAGACAGTGGTGCATGTTCAGCAGAGGACTGCAGGTAAGCTGACATTGATGTGTGTCCTTGTTTTTTTATCCCAGTTGGTACTTCAACCTGAATGCACACTGACTCATGGGAATTTGTGTCACTGTGGGGACCTAAATTGAAGTCCCCATGAGGAAACAAGCTTATAAATCATGCAGAATTAGTATTTTTGAAGATATTAGAATGCAGAAAGTTTTGTGTGTTAGTGTAAGGGGATATAATAAACAGTTTGCACAGTATAAAAACCAATACGTTTATGGAGAGTCCCCACAAAGTTGGCGAACCAGACGTGTACTTGTGAGTGTGTGTATTTGAGAATAATGTAAGACATATGTGTTAATTTCTTTCCATGTCAGATTGTTCTGTCTGGAACCTCCAGTGGCCTACAAATCCTTTCCTTGTGTGCATAAAGGAGTCTTATAATTTTCCAGCCGTTCAACTGGTGTCTTTGGAGAAGTCTTTAGGTTATGCTACAGTTCCTGCTAAGAGAGCATTTTGCCAGAAGGTTGGTACATTTTTGGTGACAATTTTTAAAGTTTTTCAAAAAAAATTTATTCAAAAGGCAGAATATTTCTTATTTTTATTGAGCAAGGATGCTTTCAACTGATTAAAAGTGACAGGAAAGATATTTATAATGTTACAAAAGGAATCTATTTGATTCTAAGTTTTTATTAATCAAAGGCAAGCATCACAAATAAAACTCACGGTTTCCTTTAAAATTTTAAGCAACTGTTTTCAACATTGATGATAGTAATAAATGTTCATATTAGAATGATTTCTTAAGGATCTTTCTGAGTAATGATGTGGAAAATTCAGCTTTGACATCACAGGAATAAATTATATTTTAGAATAGAAAACAGGTATATAACTAGATCAGAGATCGCAGATCACAGATAAATTAACTTATAAGTGTGTATATCTCATTGCCTTCCATTGTCAATTGTGCTTGTTCCTGTTGCGTGTCAGCTTCGTCAGCTTCGAATCACCTCGAGGAGAAGGTGGCAGGGAAACAACCCTCAAAAATATTTTGAATTTGAACTGCAGTACCCATTTCAACCACTAGCTGTCAATCTTATATATGACATCTTTAAATGTTAATGATATTTCACAATATCACTGTTTTTACTGTACATTTAATCAAATAAATACAGCTTGAGTGAGCAAAGGAGACTTTTTTATGCATCCTGCATTTATGTA